GTGTGTTTGGGACATCCCACTCATGTAAATGGTGGGGGTGGACCGCTCCACTCCTTGTAGCAAGTTGTAGATGTTTTTGTGTCAATATATCACACACAAACGGTCAGTAGGACTTTTTATGAAAAAGTAAGAAAATGTACAGAAATGAATCATCACCCACTATCCTTTACAGTGGTTAATTTAAAATGTGATAACTCACTAATAAAATGCTCTGACCCAGAGCTCTGATGAGGAGGAGAGGAGGGGAAGGGGTGCGGCAAAACAGCATACATTGATTCAACATTGATCAGATGTTGATCAGACATCAGCATTTCATTCATTAGATTTCAACCACAAAACAACATTGATTCAATGACACAGTTTCAACATTGGTTACTTGGCTGGAGGTGGATGGTTGTTTGATGGTTGATCAACCGTCAGTTGTCGACCTCAACCAAAAATCAACCATTCTAACTATAATTCAACGTTTATTTACCATTGTGTGCAATCTGGGCAGTTTGTTGCATCCCTCATCACCTCCTCATCTCCCCCTACTCCCTCCCAAACCTCCCCCACCCAGCCGCTCCTCCCAACCTTCCCCTCTTTACCCCCTCTCATCCCTTCTTCCCTCCCCCTCCTTGAGCTCTGGGTCAGAACATTTTATTACTAGGTGGGGGTTAATCATGTTTCAAATTAAGCACTACATGTTGAGAACAGTGGGTTGTGATTCCTTTCTGTACATTTTCTTACTTGTCTGTAAATATTATTACTGACTGTGCATAATGTGTTGACACAAAAACATCTACAAGTCTGTACTAGGAGTTGTACAGTCCACCCCCCCGATTTTACACTAGTGGTTTGTCCCAACCAAAAAGCCACTTTGCTGCTGGCTTGTTTGCTACCGGCTTCTGAATTGAATTCTCCGCTGAGCACTTTTATGGTAAGTTTTTCAATATTACTTTGATCTTAAATGTGTTTATTGAAAAATAAGGAAATTGTTTTGTGCCCATAGTAATCCTGGTTATTTTGGGGCAAAACAGATATTTTTAATAATTGAGGTCATGTCTCCTTTTGTATTATTTTCATCCTACCCACCACTCCAGGCCTAAGTATGAAATCCTGCGAGATTTTGTGGGATTTGAATTTTTAAAATAGGGCGGGGCCTATTGTTTGGTCTGGGAGAGCATGTGGTGGACAAGGAAGTGTAAGGCTGGCTGCTCCAGGTGGGCTTTAAATTGTTGTGATAGTAATCACTTGTTTTTAACTTTTTATTATGATATGCTTAGGGACGTGCTTAAATGAGCCTCTGGTCCAGAACAGCTGAGTTAGATGATTACATGACCGTCTGCAGCCATCAAGAAGTGCAGAAAGTTGTTAATCCAGGTGAGGCAGAAAGGAAACACTTAAAACATGTAAGGCAGGTGAAACACTGAACTAAACCTGCTAATGACTGATTCAGTCTGTTGATCCTTGGATTGGTAACTGGTTAAACTGAACTGGACTATTGTTACTTGTGTGGGATCTTTATCAGCATATAGACACTTTTTAAGGAATTTAATCAACTTATTTGGAAATATTTGTAGTTGATGGAAGATTGAACCAGCTATTTGATGGAAGTTTATTCTGTATAAATTATAAATAATTTTTCCAACTACAGTATAAATCACCTTTTGCTCTATTTATTTGTCTCTGGTGTGTTAAATCAACACTAATCTTATCGTTAGGTTTTCTGATAAACAGCCTTTATTTTAAATATTGATTCCCTCATTTTAACATGAATGCAGCATCATAAATGGCACACTATACTGCAGCTTGATAGGTAAATGTAATTGTATACGTAAACATTAAGGTAAATATTAATGAAAGATTAAGATAAATATTAATTTAACAGTGAGTGGACATGGGGAACTATGCGGTTTGTATTTCTCAGACCTGTAACCAGTCCACTGTTTAATATTTCAATGTCTTTCAGAACTTTTCAAATGTTTATCATCTTTCTAACCGGCACCTTCCTCACTTTTATTTTTGTGTTTTTCAGCTGTTGCTCTGCAGTTTGACCCAAAGCTGACTTTTGAGGACTGCAGCGAAACTGTCAAGAAGTGGCTTCATTACGCCCCAGAATGGGAGGAAGGCATCTCAAGGAGTCAAAGCCAACCAGAGTCAAACTGGGGTGACCACAACTTGTACTGTTTCTCTGGTTCATACAGTACGAAGCTTAACCTCATGGATGCTGTTCTGATGTGGACAACAGACTGTTGTTCTGACAGTCAAAAAGGAGTCAAATATGTTTAAATATCTGTCCCTCTTTTCTTAAATAAAATGTTATACCCATGTTGTCATTTTTAACCTTTTGTACACAGTTTACCCATGATCTGCCAATAAAATAGTGTGTTTAACATCAGTGAAGAAATTTTTAGCGGTATGTTATGATGTAGACCTATCAGACCTAAAAATGTACATAAATCTCTAGCTTTCAAATCTGGGTTGATTTGGGTTAGGAATTCCTAACTGATTCAAAGTAATAACACAAATATGCATGTTAATTGACATACAGATGATGGTTGAATCAACATTGATATGTCAGCTATGGTTGAAATCCTAACGTTGATTCAACATACAAGTGACCAACCACTTTCAATGTTTTTTCAATGTCAGCCTTCAACATTGATTCAATGTGGTTTCAATCATTCTGTGCTATCTGGGCAGTGACACATCCAATCTTTTTGTCTGTGTCACTGGAGACCTTTATGGGGACAGCACTGACACGGCTCTGCTGTGTGATAGCTCTGGTGAGCCCCATGTCACTTCTTAAGCACTGCAGTCCGTCTTACACAGTGGTCCATCCTGCAGCCTATCATTGTCAGCAGTCAGAGAAGAAGAAGTCAGAGTAGAGGAGGCCCGTTCCACTCCATGTCCATATTACAAATAAATCACACATGCAAACATGAAAAAAGCTACCGATTAATGCTTGCCATTCCAAATCTAGATCACCGCTGGAGTGTGTCTGAGTTAGATGGTTTTATACCCCAATACATGACAGACAAAGGATCTCTGTAAATAAAATAATTCAAAGGGAACAGATTTTTAGCATATAGATCAACGTTTGGTATTAAGAATGTTCCAACATGTTCTTTTCTATTCCTTATAATAATAGTAATAATTTTATCCTTTAATAATTCTCTTTTCTTAAAAAAAGATAGTAAAAATATATACATATATTAAATATTTTTTTTCAAAAAAATAAAAAAAATAATAAAAAAAAAAAAATATATATATATATATATATATATATATATATATATATATATATATATATATATATATATATATATATAAATACTACTTTTAAAAAATAAATACATAAAAAAATTGCCCTGGTGTACCCCACATCTTGCTGGAAATGTCTCGCTGGAGATGCACCAGCACCCCTCCCGACCCACGTAGAGACAAGGGTGTAAGAAAATGGATGGATGGAACTGCAAGATTCACCACTCACCATTCAACGTAAGGAGGGCAGCACTGAGACAGTTTTAGGAATAATACTGCAGAACTAAACAAATGTATACAAAAATGTCAAAATTTGGTTGGATCGGTGTCATTGTGTAATTTATTCTAATTTCAGAAACAGATATAAAACTGGGCTTAGTGACAAAGTGTACTGAGAACCATGGACCCCTTGTATGTTATTTACATGTGGAAGTTTTGAGCATGAGCATGTCAGATATTTTTTACAAGTAATTGAATATATTTTCTTTAATTCACATCAATTTTTTTTATTTGAAAATGAGGGTGTATATGAAGGGTCGAAGCTGACATAGTTAAAAATAAAATCATAAATATATATATTTTGTCAATAAAATATATTTTCCTTTGGCTTGTATGGCACTGGGCTATAGTACCATATAATGGTACTGTAAGCAACTGACAGCAATGCCACTTTATGTTTCAGAATTCAACACCAAAAACACTTCCACACAATGAACAGAAAATTCAACTCGTTACAGTTTTATGTTTATTTTGTGATTACTGTTGAGTGATCACTTTGGTAGATTAGCTACTGCTGCTATTAGCTTATCTTACACTGCAGTGGTTGATTGGCTAAATTAAACACCTACTCTACTCATGATCTGTCAGAGTTGCTGTGTAGGTTGTCCTTTTGATTTTTTTAAAGGTTTTGTTGGCTCTAGTGGCCTTTATTTGAAAGTAGTTTGACAGGAAAGAGGGGGAAGACTTGTGGCAAATCTCACCAGGCCGGGAATCGGGCCTGCGACCACCGGCATGAGGACTAGGGCCTTGATGCGTGGATTGTGCTTTGCCCCTGCACCACCACAGAACCCCGTCCTTATGATTTTTTTACTGAACCGAAACATACTGAATTCCACATCACATCTACATGCTACAGATGTCAAAGTTAAGAAAGAATAACTGAACTATTTTCCTCTCCCTCAAGCAGTTACTATCAAAGCTCTCCGTCCCTTTTTCTTTTATATATCAGGCTGTATATTTAAGAGTTATGCTGCTAATGTAACAGTTTACCAGGGGTCACCAACTCCAGTCCTTCAGGGCTACCATCCTTCAACTTTTAGATTCACCTCTGCTCCAAAATGTCTGAATTCCCTCACCAGCATTCATTCCTCTCTGCAATAGGCTGGAAATGAGCAGTTTATTTGATCCAGGTGTGTTTGAGCAGAGACGCATCTAAAAGTTACAGGATGGTGGCCCTTGAGGACTGGAGTTGGTGACCCCTGGTTTAAACCAATAGTTGTCATTGTCAGCCATCCGGGAAATGGGGGCGGGATCTTCCGCATGTGATGTCACGCTGCCAGGGGTCCATAAAGGTAATTAAATCTGCACTGTGAGCTGAGCAATATCTGATAGTTTAGAGTTGCTTTACTTTGCAATTTTAGCTAATAAAATAAAACAAATTTCACATAAAAAAATTGTTATAAAACCTTGAATATGTTCAAAACACCATTTGTACACTAAACCCATTTGAAATATTTGCTGAAATATTGCAACTGTATATTTCCTTTCGATATCCTAACAACATATTTTGAGGCTATGTTATTCTTACCTGTTCAGATTTGTAAAATTGCAAAGAATTATGTCACTAATAATGAGAGGTGTGAAAAGGAACAAAACAGGCCACCATGACTCAAAATTGATAAACATGTTAGTGTTTGTTTTATGTATTTGCTAGTAAAGGAAGTATGGGAAGGTGCGGAGCAAAGTGAACACTCACCGTCTTCCCCTGCAGAGACTGTGGTGTGATGGTTTCAGGAGGGACACAGGCTGCCACAGACCGTCGGTCTGATGGACATCCATACTGTGATAGATGGAGAATAGATTGAACAGCCCAGGTAAAGATGTGGAACAAGCCTTAAATACACAAGGTTTGTATTTATGTATTTAAATTCAAGCCTGCTGGCATATTTTTTTATGCCAGCAGCATAAAAAAATTAGAAAAATTAAACCTCTAATTTGAGAACCTTAATTTATTGTTTAATTTCCCTTTGGGATTAATAAAGTATTTTTGAATTTTAATTGGATTTAATTTATTTAGTAAAGAAAAAATATGAAAAGAAATATTTTACCATAATTATTATGATTGTAGAATTGAGCTGTTCAAGATGCAGCTCCATTCCATTCTAATTAATCTACTTAAAGAACTTGGTTCCACCACCTTCTGGCTAAAATATTACTTTTTGGGGCAATTACTCACTCTAGTTTTGAATGTCATACAGCTGGAAGGTTTTTACGGGCACTTTCTTACTTTTTGACATTTGTTATGATGAATAGCCATAGCAGCAATGTGATATTTTACAACCAGGTGCAGATGATTAACATCTCAAAGACTCACATAATACCTCAACTACAGCCCCAAACCTCAGATGATTTCAAAGGAGGCACTGTGGATGTGAAGCAGGAGGAAACAGGTGAGAAAAAAGAGGAAGTTCTAATTATGTTTTCCATGAAGTCATGATGAGCAAGGTAAGGTAAGTTGTATGAACTCCAAACCCTAAAAAGGACCTAGCCAGAGTAACGGGACTGCAGCATTATGTGCTTGCAGGATTATATTCCCAAAGCCAGCATCTCTACATGGATTTATATCACAGGCTTTAACCCACACTCAACCACCACCCCCTGCATGTTTCAGATGTGCCTCTATTCCAGAACAGCTGATTCAAATGATTGCATGACCATCAAGTACTGCAGAAGCCTGTTAATCACCCAGAGATGCAATTCAGGTGTGGCAGAAGGGAAATACCTAAAACATGCAGGACAGGGGGGCAGTGAGGACCAGGGTTGACTGCTAACACTGCTTTTGTTCTGGCACAGGGGTGTCCAAAGTGGGTCCTGGAGGCCCAGCATCCTGCATGTTTTAGTTAATTCTCTCCCTGGTTTAACAAACCTGCATCAAATGATGGCTCATTTGAAGGCCTAAGGAGAACATTGACTTGCTGAGGAGGTTGTTACTACCACCAGGGAGAGAACTAAAACATGCAAGATGCCAGCCCTCCAGGACCCACTTTGGGCACCCCTGGTCTAGCAGCTACACTGAATCAATGAAATGAACACATTATTCAACAGATTTACTTCAGAAACAAGCTCAGCATCCTCCTCTTCTGCCACATCAAAATAGACATCCCACTCTCAACTTTTCTGCCAAACCTCAAATGTTTTATTCTCCACCTCATTCATGGACTCTTCAGCTTCTACATGTTTGTCTTCAACTGAATCGGGAGATGCTGCTGCTCAT